ATTTAATTAATTTAAGCAGCGATGGTTATTACAAACTAAAGGACCAAACACAAATCATGCACACTGGCACTTGATGACTTTGAAGTCTCTCTTTGTGTTCTTCTTAATAGAGTAAAGGAATTGATATATAAATAATAGTAATGCGTTTCAGAAGAAATCGCTTAAAGTCTCTTCCGTTGATATGCAAACTAAATTACAGAGCAACACTTCGATTTCCATCACAAACGATTTCACGAATTAACAATTACCAAACAATAGTTATAAGCTTATCCGTAAGCGAAAGCGACTCGCATGCGAACATTTTTACTACGAAAAGAAGTCTGAAAGCAAAGAAATTAAATTTCCTTAACGCCTTTGGTACGCTTTGTAAACGAGAAAAAAGGTAGAACACTGCGACACTCACTCGTTCGATGCATGAGTTTTACGGAGTTGTGTTCTTTTCATTTCAATCTGACTGACAGGCTTGACAAAGGCAACGTTAGTAGTTATGCCGAAAAATGCCTCATGCCTTCATTAGATAAAGATGGAAACATTTTCGTTTTAAGAAGCCGGCCATTCTAATGGGCATTGGCTTGAAGGGCAAGAAGTAGGTTTCAAGCAAAGCAGCTGAATTGTTGCGGTGTTAAAAAAAAAAAGAAATGGAAACAATTTATTTACGAAACATTGAAATGTATATCATATATTCGGACACTTGAGAAACGACGTACTAAACTTTATACGTTGACAGAATAAATCAAAAACCATTTTGGGCTACGGCAAAGCCAAGTAATTAAAATTACCGTTGATATTGTGGCTATAACGGATAGTGGGTCGATGCATCATATTTTCGGACAAATGAAAGAAGTTATAGAGAATTGTGAGAATGAAATTCTTATCAAATTTTTCGTTAAAATTCGCCTTACGACAAATATAATATGAAAATCTGGATATTATAGAAACCATGAGTTGAAGTTCAATTTACGTATTCTAAGTATTTAATATAATTCTGCTTGAGATTACATAAATGTCTCTATTTCTAAGCGAATGTTTGCCTTAATATTTTTTTTATTACATCCAACGCCATACACAAAAGCAACAGCATTCGTTCCTTGTGCCTTTCATACTTTTTCGATTTATTTTTTTTTCCAAAAAAAAAAAAAAAAAAAAAAAAAAAAAACAAGGGATTTCTTTTAAATCAACCATTTAATGGGAAAACTTTTGCATACTTTTCTTAAAGCGCTTGAAGAAATTGATGAAAAAATACACTACAACAAGTTGCACAATTATTCTTCATTTCTCTTCGACAGTCGAGTAGTATTTTTTTTTTTTCTTTATCTTAGCTGTCTGCTCCCCTTACAAATAATTCATTTCGTTCACTGTTCAGGTTATATTGGTAATTTGAAAGCGATGGCAATAATAGTTGGTAGCGATAGTTTGGTGGTGAAGCAGGCAACGTTGGAAGTTATGGTCTTTAAGCTAAACTTTCCTATAAAACTAAGAAGAAGGAAACAAGAGCAGCCTTTTTTCTTTCTTTTTCTTTGCCTTTTTTAAAGTAAGTTTGTTGAAGTGCATGTCTGCAGTAGCAGGACTATTGCAATATTTCGATAAACTCTTTGCTCTGCTTCTCTCTACCTACCAAATCAATGCTTAAATATTTTTGATATCAGAGTGTGGCTGGTAAATACTTGAGAAAATTTGATTGCTTGGCATTGCAATAACGTGACCGGAAAGGTGTAAAGTGCTTTATGAACTTGAAAGCATTTTTCAATAGCAAAAATAACACCAACGAACGTTCGCATTGTCAATATGCTTCCTTTTAAATTGCATTAAAATAAAGTCAATCACCTAAAGTTTATAAAAATATATACGTAATATACACGTAGTATACGTATGGCAGGTGACTGTATACATACCTAATAGGACTGTATAGTGTAAGATAAATGATCACGTTCACTTTTCTAAACTTAATACGCAACACAGCAGCAGTAAGAAATCAAGCAAGCAAGCAACCAACCAACCAACCAACCAACCAAACTCTAACAAACATACTATGCGCCACACTTTGCTATGCTATAACAAAATTGAACAATTTATATACTCTTTTTCTCTCTGTTGAAATGATGATAATGATGACAATGCATGCCTTGAAATCTTTACCGTTTCATTCCATTACATTACCTTTGCTAGGATAATTTTTTTAGTTTTACGGCATAGCAGTATGTGCATTGTAATGCTGTATTATTGTTCTTTGTGCTATTGTTGGGCCTGCAAAAAATAGCAATACTTTAGAAAAGCAAAATTGAATGGAGACTGAATGCATTTTACTTAAAAATAAAAAAAAAACAAAAAAAGAAGAGAAATAAAATTCTTATATTATTTCTATTTGAAAGAAAATGTTAATAAGCTTAGAATGTACCGAACTAAAGCTTATGCTGAACGATTTATAGCAGTACGAACGTTATTATTGAAGCAATATTTTATCATAGATTTCGAAAATTAGAATAAGTCTTAGGTTTTTTCGTTAGCATTTTTCATCCTATCTCGGTTCTTCTGTAAGATTTTCCTTTACCTTTTTATTGATTTGTTGTTTTCCGTATAGGTTTCCATATACCAGTTAAGCTTTATTTATCACTTTTTTTTGTATTAAAAGTAATTCCACCAAACGCTCCTCAACGAAAATTAAATTAATATTTTATTCTATTTTTGAGACCTAAAAGGTATGAATATATGCATCCTTTAATATAACATTGAATATTGGAGACATTCTTTAAGCAACTTATCCATGACTGCATTCAGTTTATGTTAATATAAAACCATTTCTCTTTGTTCATGTTTAGAGTTGTGTCTTAACTTTATTTCAATACGTAACACTCGTTCGCAATGCTTGCCTTTAATTTTATTCAACTCCTAGCTTTTGTATATTATGGCTCTTATTTGAATCAGTTCGCATGCGTTGAGACATTTATATATGTCGATAATTATGATATATTACCCACATATAAACTACATATTATTTTTAAATGAATGGACCCTTGCAAGTTACAAGTTGACATA